GTTCCTGTAATTTAAGGCTGTATCATGTATCTGCACAGAGCAGCTGAGGGGGATGACAGAGACGTTTTGAAACTGGGTTTCACGGATACTCACTGACAGCAGAGGAATGTTGAGACATGGGAACTAAAGTCCCATTCCAAGTTCTGGAGGGTAACAGTCACAGAGCCTTCTGCCCTTCTCCTCTCCAGCATCTCTCAGTCCCGTCTCTCCGTCCCTCTTTGTCCCTGTCCGAGCTGTGAGAAGCAATTGCAGGAAAAGTCATAGAATCTCAGGGTTGGAAGGGACCTCAGGAGGTCATCTAGTCCAACCCCCTGCTCAAAGCAGGACCAATCCCCAACTAAATCATCCCAGCCAGGGCTTTGTCAAGCCTGACCTTAAAAACCTCTAAGGAAGGAGATTCCACCACCTCCCTAGGGAACCCATTCCAGTGTTTCACCACCGTCCTAGTGAAAAAGTTTTTCCTAATATCCAACCTAAACCTCCCCAACTGCAACTTGAGACCATTACTCCTTGTTCTGTCATCAGGTAACACTGAGAACAGTCTAGATCCATCCGCATTGGAACCCCTTTTCAGGTAGTTGAAGGCTGCTATCAAATCCCCCCTCACTCTTCTCTTCTGCTGACTAAACAATCCCAGTTCCCTCAGCCTCTCCTCATAACTCATGTGCTCCAGCCCCCGAATCATTTTTGTTGCCCTCCGCTGGACTCTTTCCAATTTTTCCACATCCTTCTTGTAGTGTGGGGCCCAAAACTGGACACAGGACTCCAGATGAGGCCTCACCAATGTCGAATAGAGGGAAATGATCACGTCCCTCGGTCTACTGGCAATGTCAGGGCCGGCTCCAGGCACCAGCCAACCAACCACGTTCTTGGGGCGGCACCTTGGGGCAGGGCGGTGCTTGATTTTTTTATTTTTATTTTAATTTTTTTTGTAATTTAAGGCTGTATCATGTATCTGCACAGAGCAGCTGAGGGGGATTTGGTGGCACGGCGCTCGGAGGGAGGGCGGGGGCTTCGGGTGGCGTGGTGCTCGGAGGGGGCGGGGGCTTCGGGCGGCGTGGTGCTTGGAGGGGTGGCGGGGGCTTCAGGCAGCATTCAGAGGGAGGGCGGGGGCTTCGGGCGGCGTGGTGCTTGGAGGGGGGTGGGGCTTCGGGCGGTGCTCAGGGGGGCACGGCTTTGGGCGGCGTGGTGTTCGGA